GTCGCCGGGTGAGCTGGCTTCCGGGCCTTGTCAGTAGCCCTTACCCCTTTTGTACACTATAAATATATGTTCTGCTCGAGTACTATGTACCATTTTTGCCTTAAGGGAAGTTGTGGGGCGCTTGCTGCGTAGCTCTGTGTGTTCTAAAATGAACTACATGTTAGGGTTAATCCTCAGAACATCGCATAAGCGACGTTTCCATACATGCATTGGTTTAAGTGAGTAAATTCTCATGAAGTTGTAAAAACGATACATGCAGACTCTTCATGGCAAGTGTACAATTTGTTGGCATTAATTCCCCCTAATTCGTCACACGCATGGGGTGCGTTTGCGTTGCTAAGCTTCACCAGTTTGAGCGTCATTAAAATGGAACAGAAGTTTTATTTCTCCAGAAAATTTACGACCAAAGCAAGCATGCTTGTTCGCTGTTAATTCACCGTGTCATTCAGGTTTTTCACTATCAACAGGAAAGTACTTGATATCACCCTCAGGGTTCGTGAAGTGTAGAGCGTGATATACAAGTTCTTCTATTGTACATCGCAAACTGGAAGTAACCGTGTCTTGGACTGACATAATCTTTGCATCCGTTTCGTCCAGTTGGGCCTTTGGGTTTGATCTCAACCACCCTAAGCTCGCCTTACTCTCGTGCAGGAGGCATTGAACTTCCTGTTCTTGCAGGTCCAACGCCTTAGCACCTGTTGCCGTACGAAGTAGATAGGCAAAAAACTCAAGATAACGACGATGCTCAAACAGTCTTCTCATGTGCGCGTCTCCGGATAGGGATCTCGCGAACTCTCTGCATGCAGTATACTTGAAATCCGCAGGAAGGCACGTTTTCTTAATATCCACGTGCTTAAGCTGATGCCATCGCGAGTCGAGAACCAGCGTGGCCTTTAGAATTCCGTTTTTATCTACTTCGAAATCAACCATTGCCTCGTGGATGTCACCAAAAGCTGGGCGTAATTCGGTGATGTCAAAGGATCCAAGGAATGTGTTATCTGTTGCTTTAGCACGATCACCTTCGTAAAGCCTCACGGTAAGGTGGGATTGATCGCTATCTGGCATAGTGGAAAAGGTACGACGAAAAGCGCATGGAATAGGGGTATTTCGAGGTATCATAGGTGAAACTACTCGGTGAGGTTGTTCAATCGCAATGGTGTGGTTGGTAACATCATAGACACTGACTGATGTAGGCAATGCTTTTGCAAGTTGTGCGGCATACAGTGCTGCTCCGTAGGCGACAGTCTCTTCGGAATGAAGTCTCTTATTAATTTGCCTTTTGTGAAACTTTTCTCGTAGAAGTAAATCAACCTTGGGTATCCGTGCAGAGCCTCCAAGTATAACCACATCTTTGATATCATCAATATTGAGATCGGCTAGCTGAATAGCCTCGTCAATGGGTTCCATAGCGGTCTTGAAAAGGTCCTGACACATGTCCTCGAAGTGGGCTCTTGTGATAACCACTCTGATGGGGATATCAGGCAAGACACCACGAATAATCAGTTCTGATTCTAAGTTGGAGCTCAGATCGCGTTTACAACGCTCACAAATGAGACGGAGCAGATTGTATGTTTTCATATTCAAGTATGGATCTTGATTGTATTGTTTGACAATTAACTCAGCCACGGAGGCGGTAAAACGATCAGTTATTCCATTTCCACTCACTTTCTGACTACCTGCACTTCCCAAAATTCTCACTTCGCTCTTACTGACGCTTGCAACTGTAACGGCGACGTGTCCACCACCGAAATCATAGAAGAGTACATTCAATGGCTCTTCTTTGGCGCTGAATGCATAAACAAAAGCAGCCGCTGTTGTTTCATTTAACATGGCTGCGACTCGTACCCCTGCAATTTCAGCCGCGTCCAACGTGGCTTGGCGTTGAGCGTCCTTGAAACAGGGAGGAACAGTGATGACCACATCTTTTACCGACTGTTTAGCCGTATGTGTGATTACCTCCCTCATTTTATTGACCAAAACAGCGACTATTTCCTCAGCATAGAATTGGCCGTTGATTAATGGACGACCAGCATCACCAATATCTGAGGTGACTTGGTACGTGATGTTACTGAGCTGTTCCTCTACTTCGAAATACCGTTTGCCCAGAAGGCTCTTCATCCTGCTAATGGTTTGATGCGGTTCCTGTACTGATTGCATGCGTGCAGTAGTGCCCACCAGTCGGGCATTGTTCACGAAGGCCACGTAACTGGGGATGGAGTAGCAGCAGTAGCTATAACCCTCAAAATCGGGAACTATTCTTACCCGACCGTCGTGGGGTTTATAGAGACCCACACGACAGAAACTGTCGCCCAAATCTATGGCCACTGGTGAATTCATTGGCAATCTCTCTATTCATTTGGTTGCCAAAGTGCAATGTTTCTAGGCAAATTAATGTCACCGTCATGCAGCAATCACGTGATAGGATCAATCATCTTCGAGGTCAAATACTTTTAAATACTTTTACGTTTGCAGCGCATGTAAAACATCACGAAGTCCATCTATGTCTCCCAATATTGTTTTTCCAGCTTTCATCTCCAGAAGTAACCAGGGCGCCACAAACTACCCTTCTTGATGATCTTCCTAAAAATGACCTGGAGATAATTCTTCTAGCGTTTTTTGCCTCCATACCTTTAAAAACTGTGGAAGAATCTTACAACACCTAAGGCTTATGCAGTGAAAGTCATTGGAATCAGATTGAGCCATTGCCTCCATTACGGCGTAGGCGATCGACGCGAAATTAAGGTCTATAACAGCAGATTCTGCGGGCGGTTTGCTCTCGACTATCAGCACTTCTAAAACTCTGATGCTAAGGTCAACATTGCCGCAAACGACATGCTTATCCAGTAGAGATTTACCGATTCTGACGCTGCTGACTCCATGGAAGAAACGGTAAATCTACTAAGCGTTGGAATGCTTCCGAAACGACTCGAAAGTCACGTGTGTGTTGCCTTTTTTCTGTCTTGGCTCTACACTATTTTTCTGGTGACAAATCTGCCCCGTGTGACCCCTGAGGTGTCGAATGCGGTTCTATTAACGATCTAGCTAGGACGTCGTTAATGTCTTTTATCCCGCGTCAAATCTAGCCTCTTTTCCAACTTTGTGATAGATTTTTTTTGTTGTATCAAGTGGAATTGTTTATGATCACTTCTTCACCAATTGGATTTGGCGATAGAATGTATGCTCTACAGCACAATGTTTACCATTACCAGCTCTTCAGTCTCCACGGTTTTTATCGCCATCTTGGTGGCGTGTACACTTGCCCGCACCTACAGTTCCTCAGCCTTGATGTGAGCTAATAAGAAACCACTAAGTCTGTGCTTGACTCAGAGAGCTATCACCCCTCTATTCTAAGCAGAATGTATTTAGGCCTCAGCTTAAAAGAGAGGAGAAAATCAGTTCCTTTTCAGTTTTATTCGTCAAAATATCTAAATCCAGGGCTTACCTGTACAAAACCTGGTCACAACTGGAAGACGACCTATGACAGTTGGGGTTCAATCATTTCAGCGATTTCTGTCTTTGCGAGATAGGCGACCATACTCTTGGTGGCCTAGAGCTGCTAAAAAGGAGGCTGGCTTTCTCTGTCACCTCGCTAATTTTATCCTCCACCTCAGCCAGCGTAGCTCGTTGATGTTTCGAGAGCCATGCGAAGAAGTTAGCCGTGCAACCGTGAATGTAGTGTCGGTCCGCCTCATTCATATTCATATCTGGTGCCTGAGTGGTCAGTCGCAGATCGCAGATCAACTTTTCCAAATGCCTGCGTCGCTCCTTCAACGTCATCACACTTGTATCACCCGCTAACATGCTGGTGAAACGCCTCTTGGCAGTGCTCTTCATCGGAGCACTTAGTCCCGTCTTCTTCACATCTAGAAGTTCATCTAACCACTTCACCTTAAGAATACCGCTTGAGGTCAAAATCAGCTCCACTGTTGCGGTGTTTGTGAGAGGTTGCAGTTTAGTTACTTTAAAGCTTCCAAGATATCGGTTATCGGATGCCAGTGCACGTGAGCCATCATACAACCGAACCTCGAGATGCGGTTCAAGGGAAGTCGGAGACTTGGATAGAACAACACGTACGATGCAGGGGATTGGTGTGTTGGAACTTATCAGGGTATGGCAAATACCCTTCGACTGTTCTATGCCAATAGCGTGAGCTAGGACGTCACAAACGTCAAGAGGATTATGAGAAAAATTCGTCATTCGAGCAGCGTACAGCGCTGCACCGACAACAACGGTCTCCTCACTATGGAAGGTTTTATTTAGTTCCCTGTGGTGGAAGATGTTTCGTAAAAGGGTTTGAAGATGAGGCATACGAGAAGCCCCACCAAGGATCACGACATCATCGATATCATCTGTAGAGAGATTTGCAACGCTTAGTGCTTCTGTAACAGGTTTTACGGCGCTTTCAAAAAGCTCCCAACACATCGAAGTAAACTCTGTCTGCGTAAGAGATCTTGCGAATGTGAGGGGAGCGCCTAACTTTGTCATCATAATTGTGGTATCTTGGGCATAGCTGAGAATTCGTTTTGCTCGTTCGCATGCAAGTCGAAGACGCATGAAGTTCCAACCACTTTCCCTCATATTAACACCTCGTGTTCTTTCGGATTCCTCTGCCAATTTAGTTGCTACACACTCGTCGAAGTTATCCCCACCCACGGCGACGGTTCCAGCAGTCCCAAGCACTCTGCATTGAGTAGAAGTGATTTTACAAACGGAGACATTCACATGGCCCCCTCCTAGATCGTAGAACACCACGTTCTTAGAGTCTTTTAAAGTACCAGTATTATGAGCAGCGTAGACAACTGACGCTGCCGTGGTCTCGTTAAGAAGATGCACCCTGTAGAAGCCCGCGATTTCTGCAGCATTTACAATAGCTTCTCGTTGAGCGTCGTTGAAGCATGCAGGCACAGTGATAAATGTCGTGTTCACGTGACGCTCCATCCTTTCTTCAGCCATCTCGCGCAGTCGACTCAACAGCATTGCTGCAATCTCCTCAGTTAGGTACTGATTCTCACAGAACTTCAAACGCTCACTCTCTCCATCACAGGAAATTTTGGTTTGACAGCAGAGTCCAGCAGTAAGACTTGTCACATCGGATGGACGTCTACCGAGGAGGCGTTTAATCCAACAAACGCTGTGACTTGGATTTCTTATCGCCTCTGCACGAGCTAGATTTCCAACAAGAGGCGAATTGGCATTGAAGGCGACGTAACTATGAATGTATCTACGTAGGCAATCGCCAACACTGGAATCTGTAAAGATAACCACCTCTTCAGTGACGGGGTCATAGATGGCACAGCGGCAGTAGGTGTTACCATAGTCAATTGCTAGTGGTGGGAGACGCTTTAAGCTTTGGTGCATGACAAGTTCTTACCGCGGTCTTCTTCCACCTTTTCCCTTCTTTCTACAGCAATCGATTTGACCAGTGTAGCCAACATCAGCTGACTTGAAATGTCAAGAACTTTAAAAGGAAAAACTTTCTACACTAGCGTGACCGAAACTTTAAACATGATTTCGACCTCTCAAATCAGTTTTGGTGTGTGATTTCGCACTCAAAGTGGAACTGCAGAGCAGAAGCATAACCTAAGACGAAGGAAGGTCCTGTGTAATTCAAAGACAGTTGTCAAAGTCAAGTCAAACAAATGTAAGGCAGAACTAACTAACCGCTGTCTTGAGTCTGTGCTTAAAACTCTTGTCTCTATAATTCACATCTCATGCATTTTGAAGGTCAATTACAACCACTCCTATTCGTTATCTACATAAACCTGCATTTGTTTGAACTCCGTTTCCTACCTCCAGTCAATTACCTAGCCAAGCAAGCTGTCAAATGAATTGCTTATTGTTTCAGAAGCATCTCAAATGCTCCATCCTTCCATTTGACACCCTCCCAAAAGCTGGAAAGATACATCCTATTACCTGTTAGAGACACGACTGAATCCAACTAGTGAAGGAAATACGAGTAAAATATTTGTTACCCCAAGCACTCAGGTCAGAAAACCACGATGTCAAATGTGTGACACCAGTCAGATACCGAATGCGCAAGTAATTCTTTTTCACATTCGCTAAATGCATCGAGGAAGTTCTGCGGATTATGTGCTAAACATTTATTGAAACAACTACGAACCACTGCTGACAGACAATTTTAGTTACAAGTCGTCAGTGAACATAGAATTCCAATCGCGAAGGAAGGCTTCCTCCAACTGCCGGCGCAGTGGCTTCTCTTTATTTGGGCCCACTGCATCACCTTCACCATTGATGACCAGGCCTGCGCCTCCGCTAAATTTGAAGTAATCTCCTGACCAATTTGACGTTCCTTCAATCAAAAATCAACGGAATGGTTATACGTCCCCTGTTTATAAAATGTCACCAGCGCCATTTAAGCTCACCAATGTAGAGGGTCTTATCAGTCACCATATACTTGCTGTGATTCACTCGCGCAAACGGAATGGATTTCTGCTCCGATGTCAACGAAGGCACTACAAAGAATCGCTGGAGAGGCGAAGTACACCAACTCAAGTGTGCTGCTAATAATCCTAAGTAGCCGGATGGGTTGGTCAAAACTCACGATTCTAATTCTGGCGCCGTTGGCTCCATTCAAGGCGCGAAGGGACTCCATGTATTGACGCTGTTTAGGTGGGGTGTGGTCCCATTCACTTATGAGGATGCGCACCTCCACATTATTCTCCATGGAAGCCTTCACTAGTGCATTAACCAACGCAGGCCAGTACCTAGGCGAAATTGTGGCAAGTGGACAAGTGGCCTTGTCTCCTTCATCGACTGATTAGCAGAAGACAGCAATCTTATAGAGGGAGCTATTCAAATTTGAGACTACAGCGAAATCCCCACTTCCCGTCAGTGAAATGATTTCTGATTTATCAGGGCAGAAGTTACTAATATTTTCCAGGGAGTTTCCCATACAAAGAGGTGAAAATATCTCCCATAACATAGATCAACTGTAAATAGGGTACTCACTTATGTGGTTTGCCCGTGTACGATTGGATGAGTGGTTGGAAGGCCATGACAGAAACGTAGATGAAGGAACTCGCAGAATCGATCACATGAAGGATGGTTTCCAAGTCGTCCTCACGTCCTGTCGGGCTGAGAGGTGGAGGTGACATCTGGAAGACAAGACTACGCCGCTAAATACTCACCAGGCACGTTTCGGCAAACAACCTACTAATGACTGAACATTTTCTAGTAACTTTAAAGAAGCAAATACTTTGGCATGCAGCACGATAAAAGATACACCATTGTGCGATGTTCCTCAACTCACCGAAATATAGACTTCTGCAGGTATTCCATTCATCATTAGGCGCATGGGATTTGATCGGTTGTAGATGGTTGTGTACTCTGGACTCCAGTTAATCGGAAAGTCAATGTCTGATCGTGCAACGTAGTCAAAGGCACCAATTATTTTGGCCAAATCTGTCGCAAGGGTTCGACAAAATCTTAATAGTACGCCAATCTCCTTCACCTGAAAAGTGAGCAAATGACTTGGGAATAGGTTGATGAATAAATTTAAGTAAATGTTGTTTTCGATACTCTCAAAGTACCTGTGTTAACGACCTCCAATCCATATTGGCACTGCCAAGGTAGCCGTGCGAATTGTCGACTGCCCAGAGTTTGGCGTGCTGAACGCCTGCTGAGAGCATTTTAGCAACATCCAAATACTCTACTTTTGCTCCTTGAAAAAGGAAAAACATAGGGATTACCTTGAACTTACACATTGTCGAGACACAAGCCTTGCCAAATTACCTGCTGCAATTAGTCTGTCCAAATCATTGTCGGAGCCTCGTGGACCACTCGTGACAATATTGACGTTGATGTTTCCACTCTTTGTCAGTAACTTTTGGAATATATTTTCACCCTAAGGAAAAAATGCTCAACTTTCATAAATTCCAGCATCGTATTCCCTCAAACTTTGCATAATTTGAGGCAACTCAAACGGTAGTATTTGTTGAATTGGATTTCGGGGAAAAAATCAGCATCCTTCTTCTGCTTTTGAGAAATTGGAGAGGAACACTGCACTGCTGTAGCCCATTCACGAGACAATGAATAGCGCAAACGAGTCCCACAAGTCATCTCCGGAGGTAGAAGCTTACTTTGACAAAAAAGGTACATCCAGACTGGAATCCAGATGCTTTACTAAATTGAGATAAGAGGATCTGGGCGTCACATATATGTGACGCTGAGAGCAAGCATGTTAATTATTTGCAAACTATTACATTTCCCATGGGTATTCAGACATGGCCACGACAGAAATACAATGCCTCGTGGCACCGAGATCAGTGCTAACCTGGTAGGCAGAGGAGGAGTTATAAACGTCTTCACGCAGCATCGACCAATAGAATGATGCGATTGAGACGTTTTCCTGAGCATTGTAGAGCAGCATATCCCACGCGAAGGCGGTAGAAATGAAACTAGGTGCAGAGGACGGGTAGACCAGTCCTTCGGGAAGACTCTCAGTCAAGAAGGCAGTGCAGCTCTCCAAATCGGTTTCAGCAAACTTCGATGTCGCACCGGCAAACACCGCGATGAGGGGACTGACGAAGGTGGATGAAATGCTGACGACTACGGCGAACACCAGCACGAGTGTTGAAATGTTCATTTTCACCTAACCTGTGGGAAAAAAGATATCCTGCATACTACCGAGTTCTCAGGAGGAAATCGACTACCACAATCCGGATTAAGTATCGCATTGACAAACTCAAAAATTAGCATAAAGGAGGAAGTATTCTCAGATCCAGGAGACCTTCAATCCAATTTTATCGCCGGACATTAGACCAATCTGCTTATGATGAATCACGCGGGGTGACAGTGGCTGTAAAACACCAGGATGGACTTACCGTCACCGGGCTGATAGAATGGGGAAATCGAGCCTACCAGCTGGCCAAAAATGGCACATCACGGGCCAGTCAACTGCCCGGACATAGTTTACGCGCACCAATCAGACTCCCCCTTTATTTGTGCACATAACAGCGCTATCCGAAGGCCTTGAGTTTTAACCTTCGATTTGATGACGTAGTAACAAAAACATTAATGGGACATTTTATTCATTGACTCAGTCTTCGTTGACGAGACGGAGACGTCGCGAATAAATAGCTGCCAATTTAGGCATATTTTGGCTTTGAAGGAGAATAAGATTTTTTGGTAAATAAGAATGACATTCTTTTAAACAACCACTTGAAGTAATTTACAAAATCCGAACTAGCATGGCTCCATTGTATCCTTCTGGTAATCGGATGGTAAGAGGCTGGAATGTCTCCGTGTATTGAGGAATCTGACATGATTAAGTGTCAATTTGTTAATATAATTTAACCCATTATACATTTTTACAAAGGTTATTCACAAACCTAAAACATCTTCGTTTCGATTACTTTTAACAACTCCTCTTTATGCGTTTTATTCCTGAATACCCTAGAAGGTGTTAAATTTTCCATCCTCGTTCTATTTCTACTCATTGTTAGGTACTGACTTTTAAGTAACCCGTGAGCACTCAAGGATCTAGACCAATAAGTGTTGTAAATACGCGAGAATGGATTCGCTCAAGGACTCCAGTAGGTAGTCTGTAGGCGGTGTACGCACTACATACGTCCAGCTTACTAAGGCTTGTCGGTACCGCGGTACTACCCACTGAGTTCTTTACCTCCGACTCCTCTAAACGTAAACTTGATGGCCTGCATGCTCTCATTTAGAAAAATTACTCTGTACAAAAAGGGCTAAGCAAGAATGTACATGAATTTTGTCCTTTTCGAGAAAAATTTAATGACAAATCATCAGTAAAGGTTTACGTAGCTCAGAACTTCATAAGCCTTCGACACAACAACGACTTATTTTTAGTGACGCTGCACATCCCTAAGAGTCGAAGTAAAAGGCAAATAATAACCCTTTCCCCCTAAGTAAATGCAAAAAATACCTTCAAATGCCTGAATCCTCCGAAAAACCTTATATTTTCATAAAGTTGCTTATGTATCAAGTAAAATAGCAATGCCTTCATATGTCATTTGACTCTGGGTCGGATTAGGTGGGCACATAATACTCCACCACTTGTATTTTTGCTCAGAGTCATGACTTCTCAACCGTTTAAGTATCCTCAGCTCTTCTGCCATACTATTACGACTTTCTACGACCTCAGAGGCGACTCGGGGTGTGACGGATGTTGCCTACAGTATTTTCATTAGTGAAAATGGATATTTGTTATTGAACGCCTAAATCCTAGGAAAGAATGATGCTTCATGTGGGTTAAACAAGCAGTTTTCGCACACTTGTTAGTGAGTAGGGTGAAAATATCTAGTGGGTTTCAGCTTCTTGCCCGAATTCTTTTCGATAAACCATGGATTTATGATCCTTACTCTATCCTTGGTAACCGGTAGAGAGACGCTAATTAGCCTCGAGTGATAGCCCCTTGTAAAAACAACTGCGGAGTGCAAAAAGGTCATGCAAGGCGGAAGTTGGAACCATTCAAAGACAGCGAAAGACGGAGTCTGCGCTGCTCTGTTGTAATCCAATAGACTACAGTAGAAGGGCATGAAATTAGTAATAAAAAGCTGTGGACATTTTATACTTGTGGGGTGCAACTGCTTCTAAGCTATTATATTGCATTTTCAAATTTCATCACACTACAGGTGGGATTAGGGAGCTAAAACTTGAGTAGAGAGATGGATGTGGAAAATGTACGTTCATATGAGCAGACAATTTTAGTGAATAGCAAAATAAACTCTGCGTTAGCGGTTCAGGTAACGCTTATGTTGATTATGCTAGTATCTACCAATGCCTCATGACGCTTTTGGTAGTGTGATGCTTTATTTACATGTGCGTTAAATTTCGGTGCAGCTTAAGACCCTGTACGTTGCATTTCTGCTTGTCGGCCTATCCTATAGACCATATTAGCAGCATTTCAGCCCTCCTATACGTTGGTAATGTAGCTGCTGCCAAACGACTGCGGCCTATTTCGACTGAAATGAAGGTTTGGAGAGCTACATTATTTAGTGAAACATATCTTTAATCCGTGTGTTCCCAGCTATACAAAGAGGTCTGTTGGAAACCAGAATGCGGTTTTAAATTAGAGCTGGTTCTGTTACAAATGAATCGAGAAGTCAGCAGCCCATATGTGTCAGAATATGCACTCAGCATGTGTACCAATATGCACAAACGTTAAACAAGAAGGATTTCTGTAGTAGGCTTTGCAGAATTTTAATTACCAATGAAGTAACTCCTTATTGCCAATACAGTATTTACAAAGGGAGATTCAGACTCGAGTTCTTCGTTTTAAATACAAATATTGCTGCAATATAGGAAATTCTATTCCTAATATGCCTTTTACTCAACTAGCTTTCTAAACTAAACAAAGTTAAATACAATTCGTGTACTTAAAATGCTGTACTATACTATAGACGAAAATAATTTATTTATACAATTGCACCAAGGTGCAGAATTTTGAATGCCGAAGGCGTCACTAGTGCGAATCAGGTGGTATGCTACGGCATCGTTTATGCGTCCAAGCAACTTTTGCTAAAGGTCTCCGCACCTCTGCTGTTATTCAGAAGCAGCCTGCTCGTGACCGCCAAAGAAGGAGGAGGAAAATGCCACCTCCTTTTCATAGCTTGCCATTTTACGATGAGGATCCACTGAAGACTCTCAAAATTGAGCACCTCTTTCCTACGAGTATTCCTGGATCGTGGGGAACAACTAATGTCAGAACTACAGAGAAGTTGTAAGTATGCTATGGAACTTTTCGCAACACATATCCTGACGTATTTTTTATTAAATCATTACATTTTCCTCATGACACCTGCATTACTTTTTTGAATTTTCTTGTTTAATCATACCTCCATGTAACTTTAGCTACAAAATCGGACGGGCTTTGAAAGTTCAGCCTACCCTTTTTGAAAAACTGAAAGAACTTTACTACCACGAAAGAAACTTGTGGTATCACCGCCTCGACCTTCCTCTCAACTGTACAAACACCCTCGACTTTTCCCAGTACATCACTCGAACCAATGTGCGTTCCCTCAAAGAGCTCACTCCAACCTACTCTGCGCCGACAAACCTAGATATCAATATCATCAAAAATCGGGTTCAAGAATTCCTGACTTTGTGCCCTCTGCAGCCTAATTCGTCTTCCAAGGAGCGACAGGAATTTCTAGGCTCTTTCATGGAATGTATTTACTCTGTTTTGGTTGAGTACTGCGACCAAAGCCACTTGCGCACCAGAGCCACTCAGGCGGACGTGGGTGCCAAGGTGGAGACCTTTTTCAAACGATCTGGTTTTGCGGACCTCTACGACACTGAACGTATTAAAAATGAATGTCTGTCGGAGGGTGTCTGGGAGGCAACTGAGGACGCAATTCTGGATGCAGAAGAGTTGCTCCGCTTCCGCATTTGTGGGAAGTTGGCGTGGCAAATTCGTACGGATTCACCCCTTCCACCAGTAAGCTTATACCGTTTCGTTGGTTTGGTGGCTTAATATGTAAAAGTACAATTGAATTCCACTATAAGCTGAGAAACCAGGTTATGAGATGGTCAGATCTTTCGGATCAACCCTAGTGCATGTTATTGATGCACTTTTAACTGAATTTTTGCTTGTATTTTGCCATTTGACAAGGTTTAGTATAACACTCTCTGTTTACACTGTTTTTATCCCTATGCGTATTTCGGTTCACCATTCAATTCTTTCAAATTTGCAGTAAGGTGTCTAGGTAACTACATTTGCAAAAACTTTTCAAAACTACCATGAGGTCAATACTTCGTATCACTCAATTTTTGTGTCATTCATTCACGCTAGCCATCTATGTTACTTTTTTTGGATTTTACTAACAGAAAAATAAGCTTAGCTTTTACGCCAGTAATTCTCCCTCTCGGTTCTTTTTTTGAATTATGACGGCAGCATATCTTTCTCGCCGTCCGATGCCCAATTAGAAGAAAGTTTTAGGTCCAAGGCTATCAAGTTCCTTTAACCAGTACCTTTCTCAAAAAGGGAAGACAAGTCTTCTTGTATTATAGCAAATGGGACCACCAGATCGTAATACAGGTAAACTGTTGGAGTTTAAAACAATGAAATGGGTGTGGGATGCTTTCGATTCGAGAATAGTTGTATTTTTTATGCATTTTTGAGCAGCAATCGAATTGACCAGTTCGCTATTGCAAGTGTTGGTACCATGTTAGACCAATAAAATATCTGGGCTGTTGTAGTCAACTTATCTCTAGTTCTCTGGTAGCCAACTTGTTAAGATTGTAGAATGTTTTTCTCTTTTCACCTAGTTCGTTGCTGCATCAGAAGGGGTTTGCTTTGAGGACAGACTGCCACCGGACGGTAAGCTCTATCGGCCCGAGGTCTTTGGTCTCGACCCCATCGATCACTACGATTTCAGCTGTCTACCCTTCGTCAACTCCATGTACTCACCTGAGTACATTCGTTCTGTGGCTGGTAAGACTCCGGGTCTAACATCTTGAGGATGTTTCGTTGTGTTTGAGCTCTATCTGAAGACTGTGGATCCCTACCAATAGATTCACTGATAACTGAATTGTGAACGTTAATACCAATTAGGTTATTATTGGTATGGCGAGACCGCTGTATTGTCGAGCTGTGCAGCATACAAGCAGCACTGGTGTCACAAGCAGAGTCCAATATCCTCCTCGATAGTGCGCCATCAAACTGTGCTCTAAGTTTGGTAATATGCACCTTTACAGAAGCCGCTCGGGAAGTTGGTTTAGTGTCAGGTCACAGAAGTTACTGATGCGTAGAAGAAGAACAACTTGTCCTTATAGACCTCTCACATAACTACCTCTTGTTCAATTCTTCTCTACATAGGCTACTGGCCATCGAGTCCGTTTCTGCCTGAACCGGTGAGTGAAGAGCCTTGTAAATTCGGTCTACTGGGTGTGGTTGACGTGACGCCTTCATCGGAGCAGTGGCACTTTCATTGCACCGATGGCATTGCCCCCTCCGATTCTTTAGCGCGTGAGGCTCTCTCCAATGGTATCCTGGCTGCCTTCGCTTGGACCAGTGCTATGGCCTATAACCAAGGTAGATCTGCGGTTTGGGTTATTCCTGGACATGGATTTGGGGTTGTAGCTTCAAATAGGTGCCTACTAGAATGTTGAGCCATCGAAAATCGGCTGTTTTTGGTTTACGGAAATTTGTCAAAATTGACCTGTAGGTTTTTTAAAATTTATTCTGCTTTTGGTTAGATTAGTGGGTTTGACTGGCTGGTATAATAAGGCTCATGAATTCCTAGACTGGATTTAAGTACCATATTCCGGTGAACACGCCTCTAATTTACCAAATTTAATGCAAATGGTTCAATGGGTTTACAAAGATTCCTCTTTTTATCTAACAGAAAAGAGATGAGTCGATAGATGAGCTGCTGTAGTCTAGAAACAGTCACAGGCAGTATGTGATACTGTCGCTAGTTTTTTAGACTGTCTTCGTGTTGTAAAGCCCTAGCAATGTTCCGTGTTATTGAAGTGGAGATTTAGTAGCAGAAGACGTTTAAGTTGCATCGCTTCACTACGCATTTTTCCCCCTTGTTTTGTTCTCTTTCCCACCACAATGGTAAAAATCCCTGGTCTGACTATAGTGATGTCAACAGAAGGGCTGAGAGGCTGGTAACTGTATCGTGAATAAATGAACTGTTCTGTGCAATTACAGCATAATCCAAAAAATGGCTGTTTAACAGCAGGTCTTTATTTCTTCTTCCCCAAGGCTTTACACTCTACAATGAGCTAGAAAGCCCCTTCAGCGTGCAGTTACTACTCTTCGACGCCACCTCGGCCACGTGGCAGCTTATTGCCTACCAGTTGAATTCTCTGTGTGCTCTTTGGAAGGCTCCGGACGCCGGCGACCCCTTCAATCTTCTCTGGAACTCGCCCCGTATTCCTATGTTCACTTCCCCAGCTTCAACGGATCTCGCTTCTAGCCATGAGTGAGTACACATTTCCTTCTCAGGATCATTTACTTAACCCTGAGCATTTGAAAACGCACGAAATATCCAACAGGCATCGTCCAAACTCGGAGGCACTGGAATTGGTGACACGTGCGATGCTGCTCGAGCCGACACAAGTGAAGGCGGAAGCGAATGCTCAGGTGCGCCTAATCCCTAACTCAAGCACCGAGGGGAAGGAAGCAGATGTCACAGCGAGATCGACAGATGATGGAGCAGCCGAGCTAACAGAAGCAGAGCACGCGGCTCTTTTTGCAGTGGAAAGCGAGGAGGCAGCACTAAAGAGCCACCCAATTCGTGCCTTTCCTCACCCGCGACCACATCCAAACGAGGTCTTCTTCCTAAAGGTTCGTTTTTAACCAACCATCACGTCTTTCTACCCCGCCCTACCCATCTACCACTATCTTCTGGTTCCTTGAGGCCATTGATGGAGAACTACTTCAGGAAGTGGGAATTGGAGATAGGTCGAGTTCTAAGTATGCGAAAATTCGTATCTAGTCTTTCAACGATATCTCCATTATTAGTTACTGAATGACTCTCCAAAATTTCCGGCTCAAGTTCGCTACTCCTCCTCTTCTCTAATCAAGCCTGTAGAAGTCCCAGAAATGGGAAATAGCGATGAATTTGGTTTTTGTTGAGCAAGTCAAGCGTCCTTAAGAGTCAAATGACTTTATGGGGAAGGAGGACGAACTCGATGCATTACGACCGCGAGGAGATTGGTCTTATTAGGCCCTGTTTCGTAGCGAAAAATAAAGGGACTACTGCAATTGGTTAAAGAGATGAAGGGAAATGAATGCGGTGTCGAAATCATCACTGAAGAAACAAATCGTCAGTATGCTGTTTTGCTATTGAGCGACGATAATGGAGGCAGAACTATTCTGACGATTTTAATAGGCCATCTGGAATCATGCCACATCTCAGCTGCAATCCAACTTTAAGTCTTACGTCACCGGCATCTCAGAGGAAAGTTTACCACGGCCACTTGAGCGTTTTATTGTTCTACCATGATACACCAACACATCCACTACCAAACTGACCAAAGCAGCTGCTACTCAAAAACTAAACTATAATATGTTCATTCTTAAAAAAATCTTTGTCTGTTTTCGTGTTTTAAATCTAGCTGAGTTGTTTGAGTCACGATTTGATGCAACTAATTACCGCGTCACGTGTTTGTGAAACCTGGCGCCAAATATCAGTGAGCTGTGCATATATGACGGTGACAGGGAACGAATTAAGTCTTTGTGGTGTTTAATGGAGTTCAACCCAAACATCGTTAACGCCATCACCGTTGCTGCCTACTACCTGATGGCTGGTTGATTATTGAGGTGGCAACGTGTGGAAACCGCTAGCTATTTTTTTTTTCCTTTTCGTGGAAATCACTTGGCTCTAGCTCACGGAGAAGGCAGAACTACTGGAGGAGATGCGCGAAAAGATGCCGGCGTTTGGAGGAGCGTTGAGTCCTTTCTACGAAGAGGGCAGCGCTGTGCCGGCAGACATCAGAGAGGCACTACGCCAATTCCGCCTCGATCGGCGAGCTCGGACTCCGCATAGCAAGGTCCTCCGACGTCCGCCGCGGTGGCGATAGGTGCTTTTTGCCCTTGTTTGTGAGCAAAAATCTAGGCCTCAATTATTCTCCACCCTGCCTGTCTCAGTCCTTGTTTGGGTCTGCTGTTGAATGTAAAAGTCGCACAAACTCCGTACTACCGTGTCAAAACCGTCACTTGTGAAGCACAAATTTCCTTACAAGGTATGCCGAGGTAATAAATAGGTTTTGAGACGGTTAAACTAGGCAATGAAAATTCTCTGAATGCTTCGATGGATTCAAGGTGGATTATTGATCGACAGCAGAGGAGTGAGGCATCAGTCCCCATGGCAGTTAACACACTTGAATTGTACGGCTTTGAACAATGACTTGTACGTTGCTCAAGGATGTATTACAGGCTATATATTTTTTGCACTATACATGGAGAAAATGGCTAAAACATGGAAGAAATACGATTGACAAAGTGCTGTAATAATTTCTGTGGTTTCGTTTAATTCTATCTTGTAAATTAGACGTCCATCAGTTGATGATAATATGGGCCTCATTGAGGCCTGCCTCTGATTTCTATGTTCAAGATCGTGCTCTATGTAAAGAATAACATCTCTGGCAAGGTAACTTAGTGTCGAGCAAGTCCAAAGTGTTTTTGTTTATTTTTACATGGTATTGTCAACCTTGTTTCACCTTGCCATCACTTCTGTGAACAGATGAAACATTTACATTGACCTTAAGTTCTTTTGAGAATAAGAGCTTCCTCTGCTTGAAGTGTCTCATTTAAGGTGGACAGAATTGATTAGTAGAAAGTACAGTAAAATCAACTCTGTGATACGTGGAATCAAGGGTTAACGCGTTATCTTCTAGCGTCACATATGTGCGCCAGTCTCGAGTTCCAACCTTAAAACGACAAGTCGCCTACATATAAAACATGCTGGACTGAAAAGGAAGAAAAATTAAAGCTCCAATACTTTGTGTCAGATGGGAACAATGAAGTATTTCCACTGCAGCGCTCAATTGCCCTGCAAGACCCTGCCTGCGAAACTGTTAATGATTGGCTGCTTTTATTTGAGGCTGCCTTCGTGGCAATACAGTAGTATAAGTTCTGGCAAATAAATGCATCGACATGCTTACTATCGAGAGATGGGGAAAATCAGACCCTACATCCAAATTTAGGTTCTCAACGCATTTCGATCATCAAATTGATATTAACCTTGCTAATAACGTTGAATGCGTGGGACTTATACATCTTGAACATATGAAGCACTTATGACACTCAATCAGCTTTAATTTGGTTACGTATTTGACATACTACACTACCAACCGCAGAGGAGGTGCCAAGTAGATTACTGCGTTCTACATCTGGTAACTAGAATTTCAACTCCGATGGCATTGGTTTTGGAGGATCTGAGAGACTGGCAATGAGATTGTCAACTGTACGTTCAGCCATCAACCTTTATGGAAAGAACAAGGGAGGTATTTAATTGGGGCACAAGGAGCATTAATTATATGGAGCAAAGGCTGAACATACCATCGCGTCTCCTCGGTGGCGCTTCCGATGTGTGGCAGGATGAAACAGTTAGGTAGCTTGAGCAGCGGTGAGTTGGAGGGAAGAGGCTCTGGTACAGTAACATCCAGACCCGCACCATACAGCCCGCCAGCTTCAACACCCTTTGTTAGGGCCCGATACAACGCCTCCTGGTCGACCATCGCGCCACGTGCTATGTTTATGAAGACGGCGCCCGCCTTCATCTTACCGAATACCTACAGTCAGCGTAACCATGCAAATGATCTGGATGGGCAACTGGAGCCGAACACAAAAAGCCAGTTTTTCTAACCTCGTCGTTGAAGACACCCCTAAGTTTTTCACCCATAGAGGCGCAGACACAAAGGAAATCAGATTCTTTAAGAAGTTCATTGAAGGAAACGGGTTCTGCTTCAATCGGCGTTCCGTCGGGTTTGGTAAAGAGGAGAACCGGCTGGTAGCCTCCGGGGCGGTGACCCGAAGACGAGTAAATGATACGTTTGGGGGAGAATGCAGCCAGACGAGTTGCAACGGCCTTGCCGATACGTCCAAGACCAAATATTCCGACAACGGAGCTTTTCAGACCCTTTCCACACATCCAGAATGGCTCCCATGCACCCCATTTCCCGGCAGGCACGGTTTCAGACGCTAGTCAAAAAAACGTGGTTGATGGGACGAAAAGATTACCTTCCCTCATTCTACGGGAAACCATGAGCAGTAGGCTGACGGTTAACTCGGCAGTTGCGTCAGTTAAGATTTCAGGAACATAGCCAACGCGAATATTTCTGGCTTTGATTTCTTTAAGGTCTAGGTGATCATAGCCTACCGACATGGTGCTTATAGCCTTGAGATTGCTACCAGCTGCATTCAAAACTTCGGCATCAATTTTGACACCCAAGTGACAAATAAGGCCTTTTACGCCTTTCACACGGCCGACCAGGTGCTGTCGCGGTGGTATGCCCGGACCATTCCAGCACTCGTATTTTAAGCCAAACTTGGTAAGATTTTGTAAAATCTTTTCAGGTAATTTCATCGCTACATATACATCAGTCATAATCGTGTTGACAAAGCAGTCAGCAAACAAGGCGTTTCAAATGGATCAGACGACCTTGAGAAGACTTAAAACAAAATACGTGAGGCAAAAATATGTGGGTATACGATCCAAACAGAGCAACAGTAATAATATGTGCTCACGATTTTCTTGACCCGCTTTTACTTCCTTGTTCAAATTCATTGTTTAATATTCTGTTCTCACATGCATCTTATTTCTACTTCTGCTTTTAGGCTCCCGAATTTCTTGACTGCCCATGGAAAACACTGACTTTGGTAATAAGTCGATACCCGACAGTGCGAGAACTTCACTACCATACGCCTCCGAAACTGCACTTTTTTGAAACCCACAGCGGAACCCCGAGACCCCCTCCCCACTAAGGAAGACGGCCCCCCACCCGCCAGACCAAGCTCAGTCAACTGTTTCAAGTTGGAGCTGACCCGCCCCATCACGAGCCCTGAGCTCCAGCTCTCACCCGGCTTACCACTTTTCCCGGCGCGAACCAACTCCCTCCGCCACAAGAACACCATTCACCTCCGCTAGGCAAAAAGGGGCAAGAAGGGACGGCCCACACGCCGAAGTAGATGAGGACCAAAACCGCCAAATCCCCAAATGCTGTCATAATTACACCCTAGAATTTAGACTAGCGAAACAGAGAACGGAAAGATACACATATGGAAGGGGAGAAAAGGGGAGGGACGACGCAGGGATTAATGCAGGAGAAAATTGAAACTACGACGCCACGTCAAAATAGTGGCAGACTGTACACACCACTGTCATCGATTGTATGAGGTGGCGGAAACGACACACATTTATAAGCTACTACGGCAGGAAAGTGTAAGAATGAGTTAGAAGGCTAAAAGTCCCCGCAGTAGTTGCATGCACGCCGGCGGAAGCTTGATAACTGCCGACAGAGTTTGGCCCTCAATGAGAAGGGGGAGGAGGATGTTATGGAGAAGATTTGCAGGAGCCACGGCTTCCACCTTTTTGCCACACAATGCTGAAGCCGTGGTCTTCAGTGGATCGGGCAACCCATCAATAAAAGCGTTTGACTGTCCAGACAAGAACTGACCCGCCGTCTCCGAACTTTTGCTCACAAAGTTGTCAATCTCCGTCTACCGAAAGGAAAAGAACCGAAAAACAGTGCGACCACGTGTGTGTGTGTCTAAGTGCCAAACGGAACAAAGCCCTACTTCACTCACCAACCAAGTACAGTAGCGATTTTCTATGAAACGAGTGCAGCTGGTAACAGAACGAAGAAGACTCTGTGAGGCATGATCGGATGAATCAGACGTATCTGTCTCCGTTGATTGCGTCAAGTCCGCCACTGTCAACAACTTGACATCCCGACGCGCTGGTAGAAGGGGACACAGAGGACAGGCATCCGGTGGACTTACATCAGTCGCCTGAAGCAAAAAGTGACCAGTAAGTTTGTTGCCAAACATTGTATAATAAGATAACCGCTTTCTCTTAAGAGCCAAGCAGCTAATCTCGAGTAACAAGGACCAGTGCGACTTGCTCCTGTTTTAGCACTACCTGAGCCGCCATGGCACGCATATGAAACGTTCTTAATTAATTCACGATGATATTTTGCACTTAACTTGATTGCAACCAGATGTGAAATATGTTCGTCAAGAAGTTGTCACGCTAAAATTTGAGCAAAAAGATTTTCTTAAACCACTCTCAAGGTCTATTTGCTCAGGGCAAAAAAAGATTATTATTGGAAGCGGGCTGGAACGTTGATGAATTGCTCTTTCAGCTCCGCATAAAAGCTTACGTTCCTAACAGTCTTCGAGGCTTGGTTAAAGCGTAGGACAGGAAAGTTCTATTGCCATTGTCACCTAAAAAACACTTCCCAAAAGGTCCCAGTTTCGTCTAGTAGTGAGTTGATACTTTGATGAGGCAAATGAAAGTTTTTCGTGATGGAAAAAAAGTAGGGAAAAGGCACTGGTTCTCTCCTCCCCCTCCTCCCCCACCCCCAACTTACGGTGAATCCAAGACGTTCACGGCACACGCGACACAGGTCCCCGACATTGATGTTTGCCAAAGTAGAGCGAACTTTGGTACTGTATGCTTCAAAGCAAGTCTTAAGAAGGTGCTAAAGAGTAGTTTAAAAAACGGTTTGAATGAGGAATGAAAATGGTTTATCACCAAAAGGCAACTTATTCGCGCTTAAATTCAGTGCTTCGAACTTGTAGAGTTAAGCACACTTCACTGGACGAATACACCGTATCCGAAGCAGAAATAAACATGAAGTACACCAAGAAGAAGCATTTGATTGGAGTCAGATTACTTAGCCTTTGCCTCCCCCCACCGGAAAGATGCTTTGTACATAGGGATATAAGTCAAAACAAATTTCAGTAGCTCTCTGACCCACACCCAATCCTCTCCATCAGACAGATAATACAGAAAGAAGTTGTTTTTCACTTCAAATTCCTGTCCTATTCGTTTCTACAAACACCTCAGTTCTATCACGAAGGTAGTGAGAGGTGTCATCGAGTGCACAGAACTAGAGAAAGGTCCTGAATTTGAATGGTACAGCAAAAAGCTTCTACGATTTACAGGAAAGCCAAGCCCAACTACCACAAGAGAACCCAGTGAGCCTTGATAAGTTTCTTTTTGCATCTCAGCACTGTGGCTCCAAGGGTATAATCAAAGCCCTCCATTCAGACTGTTAAAGCTCTTCGTTAGAATTTTTAACGCATGAGTGAAGTTTAATTACCTGATGGTCGATTTTGTATAACGTCCAGTTCTTTATCAACCCAACTTGTGATGAAACAACGCACCAAGTACTGTTATACACATAAATATGTGAACTTTCGGGATCTTGCGCAGATCAGGCTCTGCAGTGGCAAAAATGGAGCTTCCCTCAGTCCATTAGTAAGTCGATAAGGAGGGATACTCGCTCAAGGTATGATCACTGGGCTCTAGTTCAAAATTTGTTATAAACAGGTTCGTGTGAGTGAAATCGAATGAAGGACAAATGGAATTGTCAAGTTGAAGCGCAGTAGAGGAGAAAAGAGCACCTCAAGTATTAACAAATAACAAAGCAGGGAAGAAGTGGAACGTGGTGTGTCACCTCTTAATTGATACACGTTTCAGTGAATTCGAAATGTCTCACTGCATATTAGTGCAATGTGCACGCGGTTATTTTGAAAGGAAGAGTCAAGTACCTTTATTTATGCAAACATTTTCCCCTTCTTTTTCACCGACCACTACGGCAACGAATTCAGGCATCCCTCCTCCCAGTGAAGACATTAATTATCAAATTTGCCGCTCTAATAAGTGCAAAGCACCTAGTTCTACGGATGAATGTTCAAAAGCCAACGCTTGATAAGCCGTAATTTTATCAGAAGATCGCTCAAAAAAAGTATTTTTTGAAGCATTCTCTACCAATTACATTATCTGAGTCTGTATATCACACCTTGTCATATTCCCTGTCAAATTTATAAAAAACCAGGAACACTAAATAATATTCCCAAACAGATTGGATGCAGGATATTTTCGCCCGGATGGTAATCACAAATTCGTTTAGTTTTTGAGCACCGGTTGAATAGGTCATTTCGGTGGGGTAAGAATTGATACCGTATACGGTAGAATAATAAGACGTTGGGAATTTCCTCTGAGACAGACCCCGGGGGAATGTGTTTAAACCAATGAGAAGTGAAGAGATGCAGAAAGGAGACTGAGTAGATTGACTCTTAAAAGTAGACTTATTCGGCATCACTAGAAGAAATAGGAGGGAAACCAACATGTGCGCTGGCAAGCTAAATACTGAAGACATGTTGGAGTCAAATTGTGGCGAACATATAGAACAGAAAAAGGATAACTGACCCTTTCTTTAAACTCAACATTGTTCACTTGGTAAACAAAACTAGGAAATCGTCACTACTTCTTTAGTGGTAAACCTCTTCTGCCTATTTCAAAGCGGATAGTGACAAACTGGTCTTTTGTCAACTAATCATAATCCTACCTCGAAGCCCTCAAAATCACGTTCAAAGGTCGCTTGATGGAGTTGGAGCAAAGTGTCATTCTTGATGGAAGAAGAAACTGTGGCCTAGAGAAGAAAAATAGGTTAAACTCGAGACTGATAGTGGGTTGGAGATTATGCGGAAAGGTTGAACCCACCTCAAGAATAAGATTGAAGAGATCAAGCGGCAGGGGAGAATCGACGTTATCAACGAAACAACCCGCCATATTGTACAAACCCTTTAAGTGAAGGTTGCAGAAGGCGTTAAAGTTACGTCGGCATTGGTCTAGTTCTGAAGGAAGTGTAGCACATGAGTTTCCCTCCTTGGTATAATCATTGCCCAAAATGAACTTCTCCACAGCAATCAGATCTGAGAGCTGAAGGAAAAGAAAGGAAACGCCACTGAGTTATGTTCGAAATTTACTATCGCTAAATATTCAGCCCGACATCACTGTGTTCAAGACAAACCGGGATGGATTTCAAGGAATTAAAACTTCGCTAGTTTTTTAACAGCCGCCCTCCTCCCCCCCCCCGCATTTATACATTACTTATCCCAGTGCCTAACAAATACTCGCAAAGCTTTGGCCCATAACTATCTGCAAATACGGTTGAAATATCTTAGGACAGGCTTGCTTCCTTTCCTCATCAGTCCTAAAATGCTGATTACTGAATGCTCCCTCTGCGTAGATGCTTGTTTTAATTCCTTACGTAGCACCCAACTCTTCCATGCTTGTCAAAAGTAAAAGATCGTTTTGGCGCTTAGCATGAGCTCACTTTCCGAAACTGGAAATGTTCGTTAATGACTGCGTTCACCAACCCACAAAATGGTGCCCTCTGGTGGGATTTTGCAACAAGTGGTAAGTCAATCACGCGCTCCACGTGGTAAATAAATGTTCCCGGGAATGGCTACTGCGCTGTGGGGTGGGAGCGGAGCCACCATGTCCGGAGGCGCCACTAACAGTAGTGTGCATGATTACATGTAATGCCTTTACAGGAGACAGCCAAATTCAGCAGAATAATCGTATTTTCCATAAAGGAAGGTTAGATTTGAAATATATGTTAGAAAAAAGAGTGAACTCACGTAGTAAAGCCACGACTTAGGCTTCTCTGGGCACGCAGAACATCCATTATTCGCGAGGAAGTGGTTGGTCACTTGGGCGCACCACCCGAAAACCAGTCGTGCAGTGGACGATACCAAATCCTCCTCACCCTCCGCTGTCGTCGCCCCACCACGCAGATGGCAGCGCTGATGGTCAGATTCAGTGGGCCCAGCAAGACACGTGGTAAGACATTGCGCCAGTCCTGTCTCGTCAGCCAGGCTGGTCAGTTCCTTCTCCGCTTCCTCGCACACACTGTGGACACCGAAGCGAGCGAGATTGGTCAGACTCTGTCCCACTGCAGAGAGGCTGCTCTTGGCTCCCCACTCTGTCAGGCTGGAAAAAATGTATGAATAAGATAATTGTATTTATCAACAGCACATTTTCAACTAGACCCAAAAGAATGAATTAAACCAAACAGTTAATTATAGTCAAGAAAAATGATAATGAGGTTTGGTTTCAAACACTCGATTGTGATTCGGAAGAATGGCCACCTAAAGTTTCTACTGGCACAGTTGCACACCCATAGTAATGCTGGTTTGTTGATGCTCCAAGGGGTAGTTGGAGTTGATTAAACTCTACCTGTCTTAGCTCCAATTTCCTACCAAACCACATTTACTATGCCTGATGACAAAAATGTAAGGACACCGTGTCAATTTGCATAAGGTAAAAAAGGATTACTTTGGGGGCCCAAATCGCATTTTTCAACACAGCCAACTCCTGCATGTATAAATTACTCATCTTAGTGTCTAGCTAATACCTGAAAAGCTAGACTATCCCACAATAGCCTGTTTCTCTTCCCCATGGAGGCTGAAACGCTGGCGACCACGTCCTTTCTCTGCTTAGACACTTGTTTTGATTTAAGTGAGAAATATTGCACACGGATTTCATCACATATCTTGATACAATCCAGGGACTTTAACCCTTCTTTGTCAAAGTGCTCCTTCACCACAATGCAGCATTCAACTCTCCTGTGCTTGTCAAGAGCGGAAAGCTTTCTTGGTGCCCGATGTGCACCAACTTTTCGATAGTTCACACTCAGCTGTTCCACAGATGTTCACAAGAATGAATGGTGTGCTATAGACTGAGAATGGAGCCAGTAGCGGCACGGTAGTGTGACTCCTTAAAACTGAAATATCCAAAGTCCCAGCTTTTCACAAAATTGAGTCATTAATAAGTCATTCAAAAATAGTATTCATGGAAAGTAGCAGAGGTATTAGCAGCCTTTTGTTGAATAAATGGCAAACTAAGCACCTTCGTAAAGCGTTCCAATCACCTTTTTGATAATATAAAAGTGCAACCACGTCCTCTGCTCATAAGTCTGCCAAGATTCCCATTGTAAATGAATGTGGACAAACGAAAATGGATAACAGTACAGATAATTTTATTTTTCCAATTCTATCGGCGTCCAACTCGTCTTTGTCTCGGCCCATATCCCCTAAACAGTGTACTTTGGGGGGTTAAGTTCAAGAAACAAAACCCTTTACACCTTTATGGATCGCATAAACCATAATAAGGCTCAACTTCATCTCATGTAGCGCAATATAACGTTTAGTTCAAAATTCCAAGTCTTATTTACAAATAAATGTCAAAATAATAATCTTTTTAAGGTCATAAATTTTTACGAAAAAAATCCGCATTTTGGAAGCAGTGGAGTAGGGTAACAAAGTGCATCACAATGGTCCAGTGAGCATCGTTTCCAAAGATATAAAAATAAGTTCTGACAAAAAAAACTTTGCAAGCTGAGGGTTTGTATTAACCCTTTCAGTGCATCAAAGTGCGGTCCCACTTGAATTGACAAATAAATGGGGATTTTCTATGTAAGTAAATACATAAGCGTACACAATCTCATCTAAATACAACAGAGTACAACAAATAACCCTGAAGTAGTACGAGAGACAAGGGGAGAAAGAAGTGATTAATATGCTTTCTGAAAGGAACGATACTTACTGTAGACCCTCCACCTTCTCCACCAACACTGAGAACGCGGACCGAGCCTGGGTAAAGAATTGGGAAGCAGCAGAGATGGCGGTGTTGATGCGAGCTTTGAGCTGTTCTAGTAGTGGCCGACAAGCCACCGTGACAGTGGGTAGTGGAGAGGTGTTTGCAATGGAGCCATCAGCACTGCCGTCGCCATCTCCGCGGTGACGACGAGTCCCAGTATTCCGCAAAGTGCCACTATCAACGTTCGCGTCCGCGTTGGCGGCGATGTCTGATGCGGAGGTGAGGCGGGACACAAGTTCTTCGCCCCGCGAGAGGTATTGACGGAGACCTGGAAGGCTGCACCAGTGCCCTCCAATATCACCACCACCTTCACCCGAGGCAGAAATCCATCGACATACCTCTTCCATCTGTCACGATTAAGTGAAAAAAAATTCTGACATGCTTCCACTTTCTTACTCAATACTTTAATCTTTTGCAATTGGTGTAGAATGTTTTTAGTGTAAGGATAACTGCATCTTTATTTAGTTTTTGAGCGACAGTTGAGTCATTTAATCCAGTGCTGCAAGTGTTAGTTTCATATTAAAATAAAAAAAAAGTGGCAATGGCTTCCTACTATACCCCGAGACTGGTGGGAGACGCGTTAACGAGGAATTCAGCCTAGTCAAGGAGAGGAGCAAGAGTAAACTTTCGTAAATCTGATCTGACAAGTTCTCCAGTAAGTAGTTTAATGAATCAAGAAACAAAGGAGACAATCTGTAAGGGAAGAATTTTAGGCACCACCCGAGGAAAGGGGAAAAAGTGCGAGTTGAAGATCTTACCAAGGTAACAGTTTTAACCTCTACCGAGTGGTCACACCAACCAGGAAATTCGTTGCGTAGTTGGCGTACAAGGAGATCAAGACGGGACTGGAGGTGGGACAGGGGGGAGTGTTCAAGACCGTCGCGCTGTACAGCGTCCTCTTCCACTGCCGCCAACACCTCCGCGCGCCATTTCGGCAAACAATGATGGAAAAGACGTCGAAGATTTGCCAAACTAGGTAGTACCTCGTCCTCATTCTCTCCTTCAGCAGTGCCTTCTGGGTTGGATCTTCGTGTCAAGTCGATGGGAGCTGACGCCTCCTCCAATTCTACGGCTTCAAGGAGGCTGAGGAAATCTGCTTCTCGTGGGCTTAAGAGGAGAGAGACAGTAGATAAAATAAGAAATCTGGTAATCAAAGCAACGGTATAAATCGCGAAGAAGACAAATGCTCAACGAAGGGTACAGTCAAAAAAAATGATACATTGTTGTTAGAAAGCATGAGAACGGAGATGTAGCGTAATGACTACCCCTACTCAGCAATTCGGTTTCCTCTGATTCTTGGCACAAAAGTAAAAGTGACTACGAAACCTATAATGCAGGTTGCCAAAAGAGGAATAGTGTTCTTGGACGGAGTTTCATAAGCATAAAGCATGGTAGGAACTGCCATTCATCAATATTGGAACAGGCGGTCCGTGATCGAATTGAAGGCAGATTGGAAGTTTAGGAAAGCCATTAAGATCCCGATTCCATTATGAGGGTTTAAATACAGGTGACAGCCGAATGAGGGTGTGGTCTTGTCGGTTTGCCACCGAAGCTTAGCTGGCTCCGTGAAATTGACGATTACCATGTGATTACTTTCTGTCAAAGGAAATGAAAATGTTTACTATTAACAGTTCGAAAGTAAACGGTAGATTCATACCTCAGCTCCGGCCGCCATCAACATGAACTTTAACGTTTTTTAAATCTGATAGAAATCCCGAATGCCTTGATTTATAGCAATCTTGAGGCTAGTTTAAAAGGGTATTGGATGGAGTGACTAGTCAACACTTGATCTGGTATGAAGAAAAAAGGCTATTGATGCTTACAACAGATAATCACCAATAATTAAACCTGATTTCACATTTACGGACCCGATAACAAAGGTCATAAAGTGAAAGGAAACCGATGATAGCTATGGTCTATTCTTAAATCCTATTAAAAACACTGAACAGTCGTCGAAGGGATAGTATGTTATCATATGCGTCAGAAAGAAAACTTGCAACACAACCAAGGAGACTACCATGTCAAAGAGTATAAATTTGTTGCACGGCAATGCCCTCTCTCGCACCACAGCCCACGCAATGGAAAAACGTTGACAATTATAGACCTAAAGCACATGATTTCAACTTTAGTGGATCAGTGATGAAAGAAACTGAGTAACAAAAGTTTCCCGTGATGATGCTGATGCCCAAGCAGCAACCGATTTGATCAAATCAAAGTCGATGTGGCACTGGGAAATTGCACGGCAAATTTGAGGAAAACCATTGGGGAAGTGTAAAGCCTTCTTAAAAGCGCCTTAATGCCTATCTTGAAGTAAAGATAGCCCTTATTTATAGCTATTTTTGTACTTTCTAGCACACCACAGTTTCTGTGATCTTACAAGTCTACCTACAAACTGATGAAAAGTATTAAAGACAGCAAAATTAATCAACCATTTCGCAAGTCAGTCTATTCGGTACTAGCGTCCGGACTCACAAATATGACATGGTTTCCCTATAGGTTTATGAGAACTGCTTGCAGAAGGTCGTGTCGAGAGCAAATTGTTTTGATTGAAACGAATAAAGTAGGCATATGATCTTCTTGGTCTGGGGATAATTGCACATTTCAGCAAAGGCCGGTAAATTCTAACAGTTTTTTATCTGAAGCCATAGTTCTGAGCATGTTAAACAGGCCTAAAGGCCACTTCCCCATAAAGCCTAGGATAAGCACTTAAAAATACATTTTAAAATGTAAAATGACACAAAATAGAAACCATTAAACAAAAAGTTTAGTCAAGAATGCACTACAGGTTGTTTCAGCATTACACAGTGGCCCTATTTTTTGTGAAACAAGTAGCTCCCTGGGTCATGGCAGTAGCAGGGGAGACAAATTTTACCAGAAGAGACAGCCTCAGACATTCATGCCTTTAACGTCAGACCCTTGCCTCACTTCAAGTGTCGGCGTTTTTCAGAGCCTCCACAAGACCGGAAAATTCGTTTTTGTAAATTTATAAAATAACGCAATGAGTGATAGCTCCGTTGCTGTAGTAGTAGCCTGACACCTAGCATTAGTGAAAAAACGGAGTAGAGACAAAAGTATTAACAAAACCAATAATTGTTGCACAAATTCAATGAAATGTTTATCCAAACGGTAAACAACGACATTACCTCAAACCCCTTTCCTAGCCTACAAGCTCCTGGTATCCACTGAATGTGCCAAAAGTGAATGGAAGCGAAGAAATAGCAATTCTACAGAAAGTAGACCTAATAATCCGGAAGTTTCCGTGTGCTTAGATCCAAAATAAACATCTGAATAATGCGAAATGAACATCCAAAATTATTTACAGAAAAACAGAAAATACGTGAGTCACCATGGTTAAAAAGCGACCGAAAGCCACGCCAATTTACGACCTTTTCAACGGTAAACGTGGTTTTAAAATTGTGGTAGACACAGAGATGGTTCTTTTTTTATTAAGGGCCACCACCCACGCATTTCGCTTTAAAGATTCAGAAGCTAATAACCCTTCTTTGCAATATGGTATTGCATATACACAAATAGGAATATTTTAGGTTGAAAAAAAATACTTGGACCGTCACACCCAAAATTAGCTCAACCTGAAATCCTAAGAAAATTGGCATGAGCTTACTTTCACCTCTTTAAAATCAGAGGTAAGATTTCCAACAGAATTAGGCGAAATCAGCTGCACGCCTGATCGAAAAATGGGGAAAACCCTAGCCGTAAGCGGGACCGAAGCAACCAATGAGGCGTCCCCTGACAGTGTTGTGGTTGCTAATTTTCCTGACTCACTTTTTCAAATCAATGCTGCGTTGAAGGATGTGGGTAACAGTTTTGCCACCTCCTCTGGTAGAAGATGTCCCCGTGTGTCGTTTTAACTGGAACTCCAGCAGATGCACCTCCTTTTGCTGCTGCTGTTGCTGTGATCTCAACGATCTCACGGCTTCAGACTCCACGACTTCGAATGTGGTGGAAGGCAGGGAGTTGCGACCGAGGATAAAGTCTGACGCCCTTTCACAGACTCTTAGGAGGTCCTTTACGCCTTCCAGATAGCTGTTCGCGCGTTTGTAGAGCTGATCCGTGTGGTAGCCGAACAAATATGCGTCCTTCAGTTGTCGCTGAAGAGCAGAGGAAATAAGACCAAAAAGGAATAACCCAAGTAATCAACATGTTCGCGGTTAGGCCCTGGGAGGAAAATTGATTGTCACGGCCTAAGTACTTCATTTTTTCTCGTACTTGCAACAAATTACTATAAAATTAAAGAAGCCACAAAATGCGATGTCAAAGCTCAGGGGATAAAATCGTGGCGTCACACACGTGCGACGCAGCCCAATGACACGTTGCTTAGCGATCACGACTAGCGACCTTTCCTTGCCAAATTATCTTGTGATGGAAAGTTACAATGGCCATTTGGATGAAAGCGAAACCAAAACTCAAGAATCTGTGAAATAAACCATCAACAAAGTGCCTAGTTACTTTTCTTCGGAAAAAGACGTGAAATAGCCGAATGTGTATGTACCAAAACGCAAGAAGCAGCAAAGCGTAGTAGTAATGTGGGACCAAGTACTGAAGATAAACGTTTGACGTCTCAATAGAAATGTAACCTAATAAAGGGCGGTGAAATCGAAAAAGGCGATTTCTGCACACCTCATTCCATCATGTATCACTCATCTTCAAGAATCTGCGTTATGCTATACTGGTTTTCTTGATGGAGGCCGAAAACGGAAAAAATACTAGGCTTTAAGCGACCTATTCATATTTCTACGTAAAGTGAAGGGCATCCCAAAGTAATCACACACACAAAACAACAAATCGAGCAGGTAAATAGCCGACAAATTGGTGAGTTTTTGGTCTTAGATCACTTCATATCACCGCCACTGTTAACACAGTTTAGTCAACTAGCTCAAGATAGTAACAGGAATGTGTCAATTACATTGCTAAAGTTTGAAGATTGACATAAATCGAAAGAACAGAGAAACAGACAGACGACTGTTGACACCAAACAGAGCTCGTGCGTGTGGTAAGCGACTAGACATAAACGAAGAATTTCTAGTGTATCATGAACACAAAAACCCGAGAAACCACCAGTGATCTTACATTACATTTCATTTTATAAAAGACAACAAAGTTCCATGAACTAAAACCATCAACACTGTCACCTCGCGACCAAATGAATCCAAAAGCAAAAGGAATGGTAAGACTGATAAGCAGTAGTGAAGAGGTCCTAGTTAAGTATCAAGTGATGTTCAAGTCACATCAAGACTGTCGAGATTATGCAAGGTAAGAACTCATGTCGAGGAGTGAAGACGGCATATCTTTCCAGACAGTCACTGACTACATTTACGGGCGAAAATTGTAGTGTTTAAATAATAAACGGAAAACTTAGGCAAAGAAAGAATTCCTAGTAGGGCTGAAGCATCCTGTGGCATCCGGAGTAAGGCAGATTTTTAAAACTGTGGATTATCGGAAATTGCTATGTTCACTCTTAATACACAAAAAATTGCTTCTTGAGCAGTATCTTAATAGACCGTACACCGATGGAGCGTTTAATATCGGTAGAGGTTCCACGAGATGACCGAATATGTACAGGAATGACTGCTATGGTGTGGACTGAGAATGGAACCACCACAACCCGGATGATCCATCGAAAGAGATATGATAGTCTTAGAAGTGTTTGCATCATTCAAATGCCTTACCGGTGAATGACGAAACGTTCCATCTCTATACTGTACTGTGCTTAGTCTTATGTAAAAATAGATCCATCTGCATCGGAATTTTAAAAAGAACCGGATCACTACACGCTGATCCACACACTCATGCACAACCACTATGCACTGCTAGATTGGTTAACGCCGTCCAGACTGGACCACGACGTGTGTGGCCCGTAAATACTTGCAATGGGGCAAACTTTTCACGAACTACCATGTGCAGCGCCACCACAGTAGCGTAGCTTGTTGCAGTTGTTAAATTACAGGCTGCGAGGTGATCTGAACTCCTCCGTATTTCACGTCAGGATACCAGTGTACCGATCGACCGATGAACAAACAGGCAAAGAGTTTTACCTCGAAGACGTCCAGAGTGACCTTGGGGGCGGGGAGGGCTGTAGAGGGGACGGGTGTGGGGGCGGAATTCTCAATGAAAAAGGGTGTGAAGGTGCGTCGCCAGGCTGCGTAGGCATCCATTCGAGCGGCAACTGCGTCACGCATTCCCTCCAATTCGTCCAGGCTGTGAGTGTAGTAGAGGGTGCACTGCGACAGCGGACAGCACTCGCATACTGACTCCACGTGATCCAGACACACCATGAACGCATGCTTTGGTTTCCCATCCGCACAACTCGGCGCCGCTAAAAGCACCAAAAAGAACATACTTCATCTAGTCTCCTCATGACTGAATCACTTGTCCTTTCGATAATATAGTGAATGGATTGATCAAAATTTTCACGCGAAAATCACGAGTTCACAAATCGCATGAAATAACATATGGAAGGATTGGCACAAACTAAATCATCGGTCGTTCTCTTAACCAAAATACGAAGTTTTCGCTGTTTTTGGTAATGTACCGAATGAAATGACTTTGAACGAAGGATCATAAGGTGCCTGGCAGAAAATCGTTTGCGTCCAGAGGTTCTGCACCGCTGAATGGTTGTATAGTGGACTTTAAAATCGCCTGACCCAGAGATCACCTCAGATAACCCAGAACGCACATATATGGTAAAGACCACTTTTTTTGACTGGTCATTCAAATTTCAACAACAGGCAATAACTCTGAGGTCAGAAAGAGTAACACGTAGCATTTTAATACCACTGTCTGACACGGATTACGTCCTTTTGCTTCACCTTCCCCTTGCCGGAATCTAACAATCGGGTTATGGTAGAGGAACCAGGTGGAGAGGATGCGGAATGAGACCCCTCTACGTACCTAAAATAAGTCTTCCAATTCTTAAAATGAATTTTGATGACATGGTACTTGCTGATACGATCTGATCTACCAACTACAACAATTCACAGAATTGTAGAGGAAGTGGCTCCAGTGAGGAATTTCACTCTTCCCCTTGCCAAAATAGGAAGATAGGTCCACCTTCACTTTAGCAGTCAAAGCCCACTAGCACCGTGACTTTCGATGAGTGTGTAGGTGACATCCGTTAATTCAGGATGTGCATTTGCACATCCTGACAATGTCTCTGTCAATTGGGGTAATAAATCGAAAATTAAGCGAGGCACTCTAAGTAGTAATTGTCCATTCTTAACATAAAAATATGTTAACAATCAGGAAATTATATTACTCGTCAACCGAAATCCAAGTATTCAAACTCAAGACTGAATTTTCCGTGGGAAAAAGGTTTTTCCCGACCCCACCTCTTTTTATGGCTCCGCTAGGAGTTTATGCCTGTCAACATATCCTGGAATTACACCATGAGAGCTGAAACTATCACAGAAGGTGAAGAGGCTCTGCAGATAAGCGATTTTCTAAAACTCCAGATAATATTGAGCGATATTCCTATCCCGTCTTGCATCAAACAGCCCGATTGGATGGGTCCACCCCACAGACAGGCTACAAAGTCTGTGAAATTGTGAGAACAGACAAACCCGGAGCAGATCCACGTTTTTTCCCCAGGATCCGGGGTGGACGCGAGCCCTCAGCGGTCAGATCAGGTGCCTTGCAGGGACAAGCGATGGCGGAGAAGAAGAGTGTGGTCTGACACACCGCACAGATGCGTTCGTCATCATCCTCATCCTCATCACCGGCAGCGTGCTCCGACATGCGATCAATGCGGAACTGAACAGCACGGGCGCACAGTGGAAGGAGACGGCGGCGCGCGCGCACCTCACGACCCACTACAGTGGAGAACTCCTCGTAGATGATGCGGAGGTCCTCCGCTTCGAAACAAGTGCGGCTGGCACTTTCGCGGTCACGGAAGCGTTCGGCCGCCATCTCCGTGTAGGTGGCGCAATCGACCATTTCTCGCCGGCCCGCAATAACTTCTGCCAGGCGAAATAGTAACTCATCGTTGGAGAAGACGCATTGACGGTGCATCTCCGCGTAGTGTTCCACGCATGCACGTCCTACTGGTAGCTGTTGAGGGGATAAGGGAAAGAAACCTGGCATCATCGACAAGGTTCTGACATTCCAAGGAATATCCTCCCAGCTAAGGGTGGGCTACAAAGACTGAAAGCCTTCGAAGTGTTTTAAGTTAAAATAACTCATAATTTAACTGAATGTTGATTTATTGCATGATTAGGCACCGACTAGGCGTGAAAAAGTGGAGAGAACTGTAAAGGGATGTATATGATAATTCCCAGTTATTTTTTGCTTAGAGGATGGAAGTCGACAGGAAAGTGTAAAGATTAATAGATCCCTGCATCACTACTACTACTACTACTACAGGTAAAAATGCTTTCTTTTAAGAAGCTCAATTTTAAAGCAATTTTTTCCGAAAATAAAGGTGCTCATCCAAGATCAAATTCATCGGCGACCACAATAACCTTCGTGCGTTGGATAGCACAGTGTGTGATAGCTATGTAGATAGGAAAGAATACACTTGAAGTACTGCGCTATCGCCGCTTATGGTTGCGATTACCCACTTAGAAAGCAAAAAAATCGACAAGGAGACGGGAGAATAGAGAGCACACCTTCATTAACATACATTAAAGTCAAGTCAGAAAGTTTATTTGCGACTTGGAATGATGTTAAAAGTTACAATTATGTACAAAATCTTAGGTATTCAAATAACAGTGCTAGTGAAATGACGCCTGCAGAACCGCAGCTTAAGCTGGTACGGATTCCTATAATTGAAAATAATTGACTGCAGGAAGTTTTTTATGATACTTCATTAATCGAAATAATCACATTTAAAATATTTAAACCTTTTGCATGGTGTCTCAAACTATCACAAACTCTATTTTGCTTCGAATGATCAATCAAGATGATCAAGACGATAGCGAAATCAATACGAGGAAAATACGGGGGATGAGACAATTACCCTTCCCCACCCTTTAGTGAGTTATAAGGTCTATTTAAAGAGTAATTTTCAAGACGTTATCATGTAAGAATAAGAATAGGGATTTTTCCAACTAACTCACTACTTCTGGCTGTTGCTCAAGAGTAATCACAGTAGCATTTGTTTGAACTTCAACAAGAGAGCAATTCTGTTGGGGCTTGCACACGCAGACCGAGCGTGGGCACACAAATAGCCATATTTGTCCATCCACACCTTTACTACCGTCTTCATTATAAATTACTATTGGTATCTAAGTTATCGTCCCGGTTTGGTGGCCTCGGCTTTCTTCATCGAATTCAAGAACTTTTCTCAGGCTACTACAAACTCCAAATTAACACAGACACAAATGAAATCCGAACTTCTGAGAACAACAAACTAGGTGGTTCCTAAGAAGTGGGAGGTGGGTGGCATGCTAGGGGATCGTTAGGGCACAAGCGGTGGTGCTACATATTCCTTCGCTCACTCGTTTCACGAGTGTTACGACAATGCGAAACACATTTCACGTCACCAGTCTAATAGGCAAGCATTTAGTCGGTCAGTTAGAAAAAAATCTAAAAAACACTACCTTCTGATGATGTATATGAAGGAAGTGAGAGTTCTTCAAGCTCACTGCCTGCAATTCTTTAGTGTAGGACACACGACACCAACGCGCCTGGATTCTATGACCTCCCACTCCCCCCTCCCCTTTCGCCCTTCTCTCTTTCAGATGATACGGCTCTTAACCCACGTTTCGTCACTCCCATCAAAAGCATTACAAAATCTTGCTCCTAATGCGTTCACCATCTAGTAGGTCAATAAAAATCTACACTTCTCGTTAATGCATAATGAATGTGCTACATCACTCCCTCGGTGATTCATCACCAGAATTAAACTCTATAGGCAATTTCTACGCAATGTATTCTGCTGCCCCATCCTCTTCAAAGACTATCCAACAAACTTGATCAGAAGTTTAGTTAGCAAAGAAGACGGGTTTCGAATCAAATTAATCAGGTTCAACCTACGTTTTGTGATAAGAGGAGTTAAGATAACAGAACAGCAGGAAGCGCCACCAAGAGTACAGTATCGGTGGACCGACGCGTATTTATTCCCCATAATGGCATGCAGAAACAAGCTTATGCATTTTGAAGGCTACAAGTTACAACAGGCTACCGGAGGCCTCCAATTTTTGCGATCCCCCTGTGAATCTGGAGACCGTCTATAAGAAATTTTTCAAATTCTAACTGCTATTCACCGCCAATGTTTTACAGCGAAGTTTAACACGCATTAGGAATGTAGAGAAACCGATAACACCTTAAGTCTGAGTGGGAACACAAGGAGTGTGATACAGTTATATAAGAGTATAATTAACGCCAGGGCCAAATTCTTAACTATGCAACAAATGGTTATTGAGACTGAAGATCAAAGAGCACTACATGACATAAGTATAGGCCATAGAGGCCATTAACGCTAAGATGATCCAACTAATCTCAACCCTGGTAAAAAATACACTTCCATAGGAAATAATCGAATTTCAATGAATTCCTTATCAGAGAAAGTATCCTTTCTGAAGATTGAAGCAGAAAACGGTATGGAATACGTGAAATGCATGAAAGACACTTTTATGCAAGTTTACCCGGAATCATTGGTAAGGGGTAATGAAGCATTAGCAATAGGTTTTATGTATACATAATTCAAAGAGAGCTTAATAACGGCAAATGATAGTGAAAAACGGCCTGTGACAAGTGCGATCACAGGCCCATTTCTTGACCGCAGACCATCCTTTAAGAGTTGTGAAAATACTAAACAAACCTTACCGGCTTCAGAAAAAAGGCAGGATTTAGTCAGATCGAAGTGAAAAGACAAGGGAGGAGTGCTAATACGTCACTCAGATGAAACATATTGACTTTGAATTGTTTCGCTTATGCAGTAGAAAGAAAAAACTTAGGACATTCACATCGATCATTTGAGAAACAGCAAAAAGTCGACCCTATGTTTCACAGCGAAACTCCAACTGGAAACGGGTTTATCAAATGAATCCACTGATGGAAAGCAGAGCTGCTGTTTTTACCGGCGCTTAAAAAAGCAAGCTTTCTGTAGGTTGCAGATTCATGAGGAAAGTGTGTGACTCACCCAGGCAGGCGGACAGACATTAACGGCTTCAGCAAAGTTGAAACCCTGGTTAAATCCGGCGTGGTAGGCGCGAGGGAAGGTGACCACAAACTCGCCGCAATGCTGGTCGGTGCGGTAGATGGGAACACCCTCGGCCTGTAGCAGATTTGGGTTCATGATGGTGGTGATGTGATGCAGCAGATCCGGAGACAGATCGAACAACTCGCCTGCCTGTTTGCGCATTGCACGCTCAAATAACTCTGCATCCTCGCTCGACACACCGTACCACGTTTTCGGTTCACCCCTGCTCGAAAAAAAAACTGAGTCGTTGTCATTCCCAAATGTAATGCGAACTTTTCCCCCATTTGGGTAAATGTGCATTTAACAGTAACGGATTTTCTGTCCCCAGGGGTTTCATATCCATGGGCATTCTTTAATACCAACGCAAGTTTACCTGCTGAGGCATCCCACACCTTTAGAAGAACCAAATGACGACATAAAATCATTACCTTTTGTCCACCCACTACTTACGCTAGAAGCGTCAATCACTAAGACAGTAAGAAATGCTCCAAGCACCTTTATGACTGAATAACCCTTTTGAAAAATCGTTTCTGTACATCCCCTCGTGAGTTAATTTTCAGAAGAGCCTCACACCATAAACCATTCCGGCTTCAAATCAAGGGGTCCAATTTGCTAAAATGTGACTAACTTAACGAATTGTTGAAGATCCCAACTCATTAACAGAATTCTTGGTTTAATAATCTACCACAGTGGAAGGATATCTACTTGAATTGCTCATATGACTGCGTTGAGTCCTTCCGGTTCCCTAAGATTCCGACCCAGAATTGAACCGATTTATCCGAATTGAAGGACTATTTTTTGGCAACAAAGAAAGCGATCTGGCTTGATCGGACATCCAACAATGTCTCCTTGGGCCTGGTAAAAATTTGTCACCATTTCGTCCTACCAATTGATATTTCTGACTCCGTCAAACGGTAGACTTAGCTTTTCTGTCGGTGATTAGCAGTTAGTCTTCAATCAGAAGCCTTTTTACTCATTATCCCATCTTGTTCCTCCAATATAACCCAATGTATCTGATTTGGTATGGACAGTAAAAGACGTGGATGGTTAAGTCAAGCTGTTACTAGTCCTGGGTGGAATTATCGACCACACATGGCCCAGCTTGACCTCAATGTTACTGGTAGGTGGGTCACGATGACTAACTTACGATTCGGAATAACCTTATTGATACTATGGATCACGGAAACGACATTCGAGCGGAGTTTTCAGTGGAAGAAGCGGTTCCAGATTTTCATACTCTGACGCTATCCCCAGAGCTAGTACAGAATGAACATCTTGTCGATTTGTTCTGGACGGGGGATGACACCATTCATTGCGTCACTAAGCCTCTGGGAGTTACTGTCATTTGGTGAAGCTATGAAATTAACAACAGATGATGGGCGCCACTTCAAATTGAGATGAAAAATCCAATCTGGACGGGAATAGTGATGTCGAACCAAAGAGAGGTGGAGTGAATACCATAGCAACTTTGTTTATCAACTATTCATCCAATTGACGCATGTCACACTGATGGGAGAAAGTTCTTCCGTCAGACAGGTACAGGGGCGACAGACATCAACCTCTATGTTAATTTGCGATGAAAACCTGGAAATGAATTCAGCACCTCGCATATTTCTTGTACTTCCAACTTGCAATTTCGGGGTAACAACAAAGCTAATAGCGTCCAAGCATAATGTATTTAGCCATAGTTACTTTTGAAGCAAAATTTGATAATCCGTTTATCACTTTTGAATAATAATTGCACCTAGAGACAATGCAGTGTTTTACGGACAACAAAGGCAATAACAACACCGAAAGTAGTACGAGAAGTGGATAGTGTACTCAAGCCGTAATAAATAACAATGAAGAACCTACAACTCACCTAACGCACTTAGTGTTGAGAGCATTACGTAAGAGAGAAAATATGCCAAAAGAAAAAAGCACTAATCCCACTTAATTAACGAGATTTGAGCTCCACGACAGGAGGGAGACCCCTCATTTAAAGAGTTTACACAATTTAGTAAAGTTAAGGCACAAAATTTCTTAAAAGACGAAATACAGTGTTTGAAATGAAAGCCGCGAAGAGGAATATCAAGGAAACAATGGTATTGTAAAAACAAAGAGATTAAGGGTAGTCATGATGAGATGTTACCCTCAAAGGAAACAGATAATGCTAAAGACTCAGCAGAAAGCAAGACGGTTTGTTACCGAATTATATTGGTATGAATGTTTTGCATTAGCAGCCGCGAATTTTGGAGAGGAAGTGGTGATTCTTAGAAAGGCTTTTCTGCACAATTGGTTTACACTTTGTACCAACTGCATTAATCATGTCACTTCGGAATTTGACCTATTTGAGAAGTGTAAGAGAATACCCGAAATCCTCAACAATTAATAAAGCATCGGAGGTAGAAACTCTCGCCAAATATTTTACCTCCGCAAAGTGAAAGCAATGAACAAGAAACAAGTGAAATACTTGGAAGATTTAGACCGGAAGAAGAATGCTGTATGTCTGCAAAAATACAGTTCAAAGGTAGCATGCTATCGTTGGGAAAAGGAGGTCAAAGGAGCGGACGAAAAGACGTACCAGTGGTTGAAATTTATGGAGCAGCTCCAGTGATCTTCGATATGCCAGCAGAAGGTGGAGAACACCATACCCACGTAGCACCAAGGCACCTTCATTCCATCTACGTTGCCCTTGATGAAGCGAAGAACCGAGCTGCAAGAAGGGTAACACCCACAGTAGGATTCAGGCATTACAACTTACTCCACGACAGATCGGGGCCATGTGTTCTATCAGTCTTACAGAAAAATCGACTACCACATCCCGCATGTCTTATTGCTCTTACATGACACCACTCGCACTACCGAACTGACCAATTCAACTATGGTTCAAAAACTAGATAAAACTGTAATTATTGTGAGCAGAGCAAGAACATTCCTCATACACTTTGTTATTTTCAGCTCAATCAACCTGTCTTTGACACAATCGAGTGTAATCAGGTCGTAACAGAATTCATAAACAGCATATGTCACACATGTATGATGCTGGTAGCGGAAACGGTGGCTTGGTGAGTCGAGAGGATGGAGATAAACACGCAGGTTTGTGTCTAGGGCCTCACGTAACACTGTGATACTACACAAGGCCTGAAGAAAGTTTGCGCTTAACAAAATGGTCGATCTGGACCAATCAGAAGCGACTTTGAGGCACAAAGTAGGGGGGGGGGGGGCAAATATGTCCCCCATGAAGCGATGCTACATACGTAGGCCACCTGACCACTCCACTCGTATTCAGCTCCATGGGCGTCGATTTCGTAATTTTATGCTTGTGATAAAAGAAAAAATTCGTTGTAATGAATCACAGGTGCTAATTACAGGACAAAAATACACCCATGACATGCATCTGCTGGGGATGTCTGCAACCCCGCTGCTATTTTCGCAAATAACCTAGGAGCCGTCTTTAAGGTCAAGGCCAATCCATCACTATAATTATATGTAAGTCGACCAAGCGACTCACTTGAGCCGAGGCAGTTTCCACCGCCTAGCCGCCAAGTTTGTACACACTGAGCGTACCCCGATGCTTGTACTTTAAGTCGCTAATGGACGACTGCTCTGAAGGCTATCCATTGATTGTCAGGTTAAGTCAGGCCACTCGCCCAAATAAACATCAGGTTACAAGAATTGGTGCCTCAGTTTGTGCCAATTCCATGAGAAATAGACTAAACGTCTAACGCTTGAACAATCCTATTCAATGGACACAGACAGTTTCCCCGACGTATGTCAATAGATCTGTCCTGTCAGCCCAAGTTGAGTAGTTTAAAGAGAACTACCAAGGTGCGGAAAGTTGAAGGCATTAATGAAGTGGAGCCTTAAATGGGAAATGAAACACTCCGATTACTAAAGCGGAACGAGAGGATACGATGAAACCACCGCGACAATGATTGCAGTTACCTTCTGCGTGAAGTAAGGCCCAAACATCTGAGAATGATCGTACACCTTTGGACAGAAAATAGCCTTTGTGAGCTACGGTGCCCAATTTGCCTCTGAGACCCTGACCATAAACGTGTTCAAGACGGTGGACTCGATCCCCTCAGCCAATCCTTAATGCGGATGTTGAATACTTCGGCACAATTCAAATGTGCAAACGCACGTCACACTTAACTGATATAATTTGCCAATTTCATACTTTCAAACCCAACAACCTCTCCATTTATCCCCGAAAACCCAGTAAAATCATAACAGGAAGCATAATTTCCCCATTTAAAAGGACTCCTATGATTTGATATTTTGATCGACTATACATTTAAATACGCGAGACCATCGGTCTGCGGAACAGCACTTCGGCAAGGCCTACCGGCTATGTCTGTGGCCCCCAGTATTTATGTACGTTTGTAATACACCTTTCATATTCCTATACCTTATTAGAACTCAGGGGAAGACTCGAAGCACAACATTGGTTGCAGCGGCAAGCAAACTCAATGCATGTAGTGGTGAGTTAGTTCCCAACTCTAAATTTTACAGAAGGGGGACTGTAAAAGGCTGAACCCACGGAGACTTATTGAGGTGTTGAACCGGCGTTTATCTCTAACAAATTCCCAATTTCAAATTCCTCATAATCATTGCTGGTGAAGTAAGATCAAGTCAAATGAAAACCAACTAACTTTAAAGGATGGTTTACCATATTTTTCCCGGTGGAAAGCCTTATATCACAGTCTGGGAAGATGATACCAACCCCCATTTTGCTTTTGGACAAATGTTACCACAATTAGTGATTGATAAACAGAATATGATTGATGTTAAATATCGTCCAGCTTTTCGGACTATGTCCCAGATAGCTTCGTCCCGACAGTTTAATTTGCAGAAGACTCGACATTACGAAATTCCAAAGAGACCTATGTACGCCTTAAGATGCAAATTTACCATATTATCTCCGATCCTGTATCGGGACTAGCCATAGCTCACACATTCGCAGATGGGAGCGCCGAGAACGACACAGAAGTGGATTACTACATGCGTAATTAACCACAAGGGCTCTTAGGATGTACTTCCAATCGGCAACATGGCATTCCCGCCCATGTCTGTAGCCTTCCAGCACTTCTGCGTCTAAATAGCAAAACTATCCTGACAGTACGACTTGCTAAGACTTCAGGAGACTCAGGACGTTACAAAATTATAACCACGATCTACTCGAACTG